TGGTCTCAGTTCCTTGTCTGATCACCGGTCTTCTGTCACTTATAGCCAGAGGGGGTGGGACCTAGGGCTTTATCCAATCACGGGCAAGGAGGTGACGGGTGTTGTGGTGGGCGCCTGTGGTCCCAGCTACTCGGGAGGCTGAGGCAGGAGACTCACTTGAGCCCAGGAGTTGGAGATTGCTGTGAGCTGTGATGCCATGGCTCTCTACCCAGGGGGACAGCTTGGGGCTCCTTTAAAAAAAAAACTCAAAAAAAAAAAAAAAAGAATTGGGAAGAGAGCACTCTAGATATCCCTCTATGTATACACCGTGGTGCTACAAAGAGATCTTAGTGGTTGCCAGGTGGGCACCTGTAGTCCTGGCCACTTGGGAGGCTGAGGCAAGAAAGTCACTTAAACCCAAGAGTTTGAGGTTGCTGTGAGCTGTGATGCTCCAGCACTTTACCAAGAGCAACATAGTGAGACACTGTCTCAAAAAAATATATATATGTTATTGTAAGATTTTCTTTGTAGGTATTACTGAGGAATGATATACTTTCTTTTTTTCTTGAGACAGAGTCTCAAGTGGTCACCCTGAGTAGAGTGCTATGGTGTCATAGCTCACAGCAACTTCCAACTCTGGCTCAAGCAATCCTCTTGCCTCAGTTTTTCTATTTTTAGTAGAGATGTAATGTTGATTTTGCTAAGGCTGGTCTCAAACTTGTGAGCTCAAGCAATCTACCTGCCTCCCAGAGTGCTAGGATTACAGGTATAAATTACCACTCCCGACCTAGAAATGTCATTATAAATGCCACCATTATATTTTCCTAATAATGTGTGAGTCAGAGTTGTAGGTCTTCTATACAACAAAGTGGAAGGGCTCCTGAACTGAAACCATGTTCTCCACACCCCTGGGAATATCAGGTTGCTCCTGAGTGATATGACAAATCCCATTTCCAGGTGCTGAAGGACTGCTTAAGCACACAGAAGAGTGCAGACAGGTCCTTAAAAGCTACTGCTCATGGGTTCCATGGCACTTGTTCCCCAGTCCAGTTTTGAGCTCTCTCCTGCTTTGTGCAGGCCACAGGAGAAGAAGCTGGTGTTTTGCCCACCTGTGACCTTGTTGGAGGCTGGAGGCCTGGATGTTGGTTTGTATGTATGGGCCACTAATCCCTTCATGCCCTATGCACTTATCAGCCTTCTCAGAAGGCTAGAATTCACATCTAATCTGCCCAGTCACAAGAATCACATGTTTTAATT